TCTGCTGATTTATCTTTTCTAATTATCTAGTTTTTTTATTTATTTTGATTTTTATTTTGGAGGGCTAGGATTGAAAGTTGAAGAATCTCACTGGGAGTGGGAATTCAATCAGAAGAGTCCAGACTGGATTCAAAGATTGAATTCCCGTCCAAAGGGAAATTGGGATTGATCAGAAACTCCTGATCAATCCCTATATAAAGCACCTCCTGGAACATAATGAAACACACAGAAAACAATAAGCAAAGCTACTGATTTGAGAGAAAAGGAGGCGTATAGGAAGCTAGGAAAAGTTTAGGAGTGTTCTGGGAGTGAGAAAAAATTTTTAGAGATTTTTGGCGAAAAATTTTTTTGGAAATTTCTGGGAAATTTCCAGATTCCGGCGAAAATTCAGGCGAAATTTGAATTTTCCTGTAACAATTCCGACGAACATTGAAGTTTCCGGCGACCAGCCCAGTTTCAGACGAAGAATCCCAGAAACCGGCGATCTTCCGGCCAACTTCAGCGAAATTTCCAAATTTCGACGAAAATTTCCAGAATTCGGCACCGGTGTTCTTCAGTTTTTAGAGAGAAGAGAGAGAAAAAGGGAAGAAGAGAGAGAGAGAGGGAGGAGCGTTCTGCCGAAAAAATGAAGGGGATTGCCTTTTATACCCTCCCAAAACGACGTCGTTTTGGCCTTAAGTAACCCAGAGGATTCGCGCGTTTTGCCAAACCCGACCCGACCCGGGCGTCGACCCGCTTTCTGACCCGTGCGTGCCAGCCCCCTCCGAGCCGAGCCGAGCCTCCAAGCCGCTCCCCCCGAGCTGTTTTCTCTTCCTTGAGCCGAGCCGAGCCGAGCCGCGATCCGAGCCGCTCCAGGTTTTTTTTTTTTTTTTCTTTGTTTATTTGTTTGTTTTATTTTTTATTTATTAGATTAGGTTTATGTAATATTCTTTTTATTTATTTTTTTTATTATTTTATTTTCTTTAAATAAAAATAAAAAATTCCAAAAAAAAAAATATTTTTTAGGGAAAAGTTGAAAGTATCAATTTTCCTTAAAAGAAAAATAAATTTCCAAAAAAAAAATATTTTTAGGGAAAAGTTGAAAGTATCAATTTTCCTTAGAAATAAATTTCCAAAAAATATTTTTGGGGAAGGGTTGAAAGTATCAATTTTCCTCAGAAATAAATTTAAAAAAAAAAATATTTTTAGGGAAAAGTTGAAAGTATTAATTTTCCTTGAAAATCAAAATTTCAAAAAAAATATTTTTGGGAAAAAGTTGGAAGTATCAATTTTCCTTAGAAATAAATTTTCAAAAAAAGGGTTTTTGAGAAAAAGTTGAAAGTATCAATTTTCCTTGAAAATCAAAATTTCAAAAAAAAATATTTTTGGGGAAAAGTTGAAAGTATCAATTTTCCTCAGAAATAAATTTCAAAAAAAAATATTTTTAGGGAAAAGTTGAAAGTATCAATTTTCCTTGAAAATCAAAATTTCAAAAAAATATTTTTGGGAAAAAGTTGAAAGTATCAATTTTCCTTAGAAATAAATTTTCAAAAAAATGGTTTTTGAGGAAAAGTTGAAAGTATCAATTTTCCTTAGAAATAAATTTTCAAAAAAAGGGTTTTTGAGGAAAAGTTGAAAGTATCAATTTTCCTTGAAAATCAAAATTTCAAAAAAAATATTTTTGGAGAAAAGTTGAAAGTATCAATTTTCCCTAAAAAAAAAATTCATTCTTTCCTTCCTTTCTATCTTAATTTTGATTTTGTTTTTTTTTCTTTAAATAATCCGACGACGGAGCCTCTGTAAGTGAAACAGTAGTTTTTCTTGCATACTCCTGAGGTGAGGGAATTTTCTCAATTTTCTGCTAAAAGTATTAGAGTCAATTGAGAATAATTTTCAATAATTAACTACTTGGTAAAATTTTAAGGCTTTTGGATAACACAAATTTTAGCTGGTACCATCTTTTGATGGGCGTTGTGAGGGTGCTATAACCTTCCTCACACGTAACCGAACTCCCGAACCTATTCTTTTAGGGGCCCTTAAACTTAGGTGTTCCCTAAAAGGACAGATTCTTTAGGTGACCAATCGCACCTAGATAAAAAAGATTGGTGGCGACTCCCTAAAAGTCAATGTCTAGCGATAGATCCCCGGATCTAGACGTTACGGCAACACTCTTTATAGAAAATTGTTGGTCTCTAACATTTAGACAGAGTACTAAGAATTATTTTTTTCGGAATATTTTTTTTATTTTATTATGTAATATCACAATTTTTAAAAAAAAAGTATTATTCTTTTTTTATTATAAAATATTGTATCATCAAGTAGTAAATAAAAATTAAAGTTAGAATAGTGCAAATAATTACTGATAATAACATACTAACGTATGTATGCCAATGAATGTTACGTAGGATGAGATGCAATTTAAAAGTTGGATTCTTAAGTATAATGAGGCCACTCCGACTCTCCAATATTTAGGCAGAGCTTAGGTGCGATTGTTTATATTTAAGATTCCAATTTACTGTTTACTTTTTATTTATTAATCTTATTATTAATGCGAATTACGAAATCGTGTAAAAAGACTTAACGAAGTAAAGTTTCCTAAATATCCCATCATCTAGGCGGCATTCGAAAACAAATTATTTTAAATGAGATTTTCATATGTGTCCTTAAGATTTTTAGAAAGTTTTGAGTAAGGGCTTGAGTAGAGGTTTTGAAGGTTTGGTTTTAAAATTTAGAGGGTTTAAGGCTTTGAATTAGGTATGAAAGGTTAGGATTTTTATTAAAGTTAGAGATTTAGGGTTTGGGTTTTGAGGTTTGAGGTTTAATTTAAGGTTTGGATTTAAAGAATTTCGGATTTTAGGGGTTTTAGAAAACGTAAACATCTCTAAAAATCTCCAACATGTAGATAGATTTTCGAAGTAAGTTTAATTTTTCTAATTTTTTAAAAATTAATTTAAGAAACATAATTTTTTTATAAAAAATTTTTTTTTAAAAGGTCCTTTTTTATGAAACTTATTATCAAAAATATTATTACTTATTTAGTATTTTATAATAATAATTCTCCAACATCTAGGTGAAATTATTATTTTTGAAATATGATTTAATTCCCTCCAACATTTAGGTAGGAAAAATAAAAAAAAAATTCTATTATTATTATTATTTAAGCATTTTTAATATTTTTTAAACTATTATCTTACTTATTTTCATTATTATTATTAAAACAATTAACTATTTATCCTAAAAAATTTAAAAATTTATCATGCATAAATATATAAAAATACTTAAAATAACAAAAATAATAATATATAAAAAAATTACAAAATTAAAAAAAAAAATTTTTTACTTGAACCGAACCGGTCAATGGCTGTTCTGTTGGACTGAAAAGAGGTCAGTTCGACACGCAGTTTGGTTGAGCTGGTTGAGGAGCGGTTTAGATCGATTCTATCAAATCGGTTAAGGTTGCTGAATAATTGAGTTGAGGGGTCGGTTGCGCAGACCCGAGGTCGGGCTCGGGTCAACGCGCGGATCTTTTCTTACCTAATACGACGTCGTTTTGGCCTTAAGGCCTTTATATATAACTGAAATTTTTTTTTGTTTCAGTTTTTTTCTATTTCAGAAAAAAAAGAGGGGAGAGCTCTAAAGCTTCTTCGCCTTCCAGTCGTCAGATCGTCGTCGGTTCACCGTCGACGATGCTGCCAATGATCGTCGGTGGCCGAAAAACTTTCAAAATAGCCTAAAAATTTCTTTTTTTCGTTCTTTTTTCGAAATTGACTTTGTTTTTGCCAGAAACAGCTCCGATCGTCGTAGATAGGGGCTTGAAGTTTTCTGCCTTTTTTTTTTTTTTAAGGAGAGACTAATATGATTTTTTCTTTTGCAGGTAGCATGGCGTTGGGTTCCTCCCTACGAGGAAGACTGTGTTTGTCTATTTTTTGTTTTTGTTTTCTTTGGTTTGGGTATTTGGGTGTGGGTTTGAAATTTGGATTTTTTATGCGTGGGGATGGAGCTTTTGTCTAGGGCTGTTGAAAGTGTTTTAAGGGGGTAGTTCGTCTAAGCTCGAGGGTTTATCGTAGGGGTGAATTGAATAGGTTTTTTTTTTTTTTTTTTTTCTAGAAAGACTGAAGGGGAAAGGGGCTGTTGGTTTTAAAGAGCTTTAAATAGAGGGATCTAGGTGGCTGTAGGGTGACTGTAGGTGGGTTGAACAGGTAAGGGTGAGTAAATGGTCAGTTTGATCGGTTCAGTTTGAAAAAATCAATAACCAACTTAACCGACTTTCATTTAACAAATAATCGAACCGATCGAATATTATTAAATAACCGATCATAACCGAACTGATCAAAATCGATTCGGTACGGTCAGTTCGATTATATAATCGATTTTTTTATCATTTTTTTCTTATTATTAATAATTATTTAACCACAAATTTAATTCAATAAAATTCAAACTCTAGTATCATTTAAACTAAACTACTAAATAATTTAATAATTTCAACAATATTTTACAAAAAAATAAATAAAAATATTTATCTCAATTTTTTTTATTTTTAATTATTAGAAAGTCGATTAATTCGGTTAGTGCGGTTATCAATTTTAAAAATCGAAAATCGATTATAACTAAAACTGAATAAACCGAACTGATTCAACCGAATTCGCTCGGTTTAGATCGGTCTAGTCGGTTCAAACCGACTTTTGCTCACCTCTATGAATAGGGGGTTGGATAGGGGGCTGGTTGGGGGCGACGGCGACTCGTATCAACCCTCTGGTTTCTGTCTCCTTTTTTTCTTTTATTATTATTATATTTTTTAAATTATTATTATTATTAATATTATTAAAATTATTATTATTAAATTGAAATAAATACAGTAAATCCGAGTAAAATCGGTGTCTATAATTATAACATAAAGCTTTCAATTCTCTTTACTTAAGTATTGACAGTAAATAATCTATTTATCCGATATGAGTTTTAAATCTTAACATTTATATTTTTTTTCTTAATTCTAGATTACAGATTACTTTGTAAAAAAAAAAAAAAACTTGTCTTTCTATAATTTAAATCTATTAAAATTAAGGTTAAAAAAGTACGTAAAACTTATTTTGTTTTATACATTGTTTTTGACAATTAATTTTAATATATTTAAGAAATGAGACTAAATCGTTCTTTTTTTTTTTTATAAATTTTACTTGCCTCTTTCATCTTTTGAATTTATTAAAATTAATTGTTAAAAAATATATAAAAGTTTTAGTCGGTTGTTTCCCATTAATATTTTGACATTATTATTTTTCAAAACTGGTAACATTATTCAACTTTTTCGTATAGTCCAAATCTCTTTCTCTATATAAATAAAGAAACAATGCTATCTGTTTCAATTCATCAACCCCTTCCCATTTGCAATTTACAATGACCGCCGTCGCCATGGAAACACAAGAGGACAAAGGATTGGATCAACTGCAAAGAGAAAATGAGTCGCCAATCGAGTCAACCCAGAATATAAACTCGCTACCGAGCCTCGATGAAGTGGAAGGGATCCTGGGCTACAAGTTTAACAACAAACGGTTGTTGGAAGAGGCTTTCACACATGCTTCGCTAGGGGAGTGCTTCTCCAATGAGCGGTTAGAGTACGTGGGTGACTCCGTTCTTAACCTACTCTTCACCAAAGAGCAGTACTTTGAATACCCTGATTTGTGGCCAGGAGCTTTGACCAGGCTCCGAGCAGCTAATGTCAACACCGAGAAACTAGCTCGTGTCGCCGTTAAACATGGATTGCATCGCTATCTGCGTCATAAGAAACCTCTTCTTGAGGAGCAAGTAAGTGGTCAAAAGTTTTTTTTTTTTTTTTTAAATTGTTTTTAAATAAAATAAAAAGATATAATTCTAAGAATTAGATTTCTTTAATCAAGATTAGGTTTGAGATTTTAGGAGATAATATCATCAAGAGTTTTGACTTTTTAGAGATAATAATATATATCTATTTTTTTCATTAATTTTAGTTTAGGAGTTTGATTTTTTTTTTTTTACAAAAGTTTTGAAAATAAAAAAAAAAATTGCATGCAATAGAATTTATATCTCCATTTTATTAAATATAATATCTTATGAGTAACTTTTATAAATCAACTAATGTTTATTTGTTTTTTTAGTTAATCAACAGTTCTGAATCCGTAGGAGTTTTGGATAAAGTTTTATCTGTTGAAATCTTAGTTGATAGTGATGTGTCTAGTTTATAGATTTTAGTCTGAGTTGACATTTTCAAATATACTTGAAAAGTTTAGAGCTTTTTTGGCTTGAATTATAAGTTACATATGTTTTTGAAGGATCCCGACATTTAATTTCCATTCAATTTCGTTGGTAATTTGTCAAACTTTGGTTAATTAAATTTTAGTTGAACCAAGAGACCAGTTGGAGTAAGAAAAGAATTTCAGTTGTGATCCTATGCATATAGGGGTGCAAAAAGAGTTTCAATTTCTTTTTTTTTTTTTATTTTAGTTAAAGTCTTCTTTATTACTTTTTTTATTTGTTATTTGTTAATAATTATCATAATTATTATTTACATGCATAAAATTCAATCAATATAATTGTCCATCCTACATTCGTACAAAAAGTAATTTGCTACTAGTAGTAATGCCTTTTGTTGAAACCTATAAAAAGAAAAAAAAAGCACTTTATCAATCTTATTTATGTTATATAATTCTCATTGCATGTGAGAATATATTATAATAACGTAGAGTAACAAATTTAGAGTCTAGGTGATAGGGTTGATTATGATGATGAAATTAAAAATGATAATACTAGTGAAATTAGTTATTTAATGATGCTATTAGATATAGTAAAAATAAGTGATTGAGATATGAGTTTAATGCAATCATAACATTACGGTAAAATTAAAAATGAAAATAACTCTTTCTTCGATGATAAATTAAAGATATAGTGGGTTTAATTGCAGCATGAAGTATTTTCCAAATGCACCTCACGATGTAATTAATTTAAAAAAAAAATTCGTTATGATGAAATTCAAATGAGAACTAATCTATGTTTAATGAGTAAATTAAGATTTAAATGATCATGGATTATTGTCTTATGTTTTTAATTAAGGTTTGTAGCTTAGTGAATTCCTTGCAGATTTGGATGGTAATTAGATTTTGTGAGTAGAGGCATTCATAAAAGGTTTGTCTTCAAGTCCACAAAGCATCTTCTTATGCTTGGGTGCAAGGATCATTATTTGGTAATTCTATATTTGGGTCAAGTGTACTTGACTTTGATTTTGTCATTTCTACCTAAAATCTAATCTAAAAACCCCACAGATTCGACAATTTTCTAGAGAAATAGAGCGCTATCCTTTGCATTCCAATGGACTGATTGACGTGCCAAAGGCGTTAGCCGATCTTGTTGAATCCACCATCGGGGCCGTTTTCATTGACAGCAATTCCTCCATTGATATTGTGTGGAAGGTACCTTGTATTTTTCTTTCACTTTCACCATTAATAATTTCTTGCAACTTCTCGTGAGTCTTCATAAATTTTATCTCCAATTCCAAAGGTTATACGGCTAAAATAAAATGAAATAAAATAAATGTATCATTGGTGTATAGGTGTTCAAGGTTTTGTTGGAGCCCATAATCAGGCGAGAGACACTGAAGACACACCCGGTGACCCAGCTGTACGAAGTGTGCCAGAAGAGAAATTTGAAAGTGAAATTCGTAGATTTATGGAAAGAAAGCACATCTTTCGATGTGCTCATCGATGACCAACTTGTGGGAAGAGGTGCATGTAGGCTCAAGAAGGAAATTGCACATAACAGGGCTGCCAAGGATGCATTGGACAATATTTGGAGAATCTTAGATCAAAGGGATAATAGTATTCCTGAAGAAACAAACTCTTTGACATGATGGATTCAAAATGTAAAAGCTGAAGTAAATTTAACACATATTTTAAATTATTTATGAATTAATAAGGCTTTGTTTGATAAGCGTTTTTTATTTTTACAAAAAAAAAAGAGAAATTATCTTGCATACCTCCATTCACAAATAATTTAGTCTCTGCTGGTTTCTGACTGTAGACATGGCCATTTGAGTATGTTGAATGATGAAACCATAAGTTTCATAAAAGTACTCTACAACAGAGTTCATTGTACCTCTTTCATCTACTGGAAAAGTCAGCTCTCTAGTTGCTTGTGATGTCAAAATGTTTCTACGGTACCTTGACGCCTCTAAACTTCCATTTAAATGGATATTAAGATTAGTTCTAATGAAATTCAAAGCAATGACGACGGTAAAATTAATTATTATAATAATAAAATTAAAATTAATAATAAAATATATGTTTAGATCATTGGATGCAAAGCAAGTGATAAGTGTAGTGAAAAAAATGATTATTAAGTTTATTAAATTAAAGTTTTTGTATAATTAAATTTATATTATATATTTAATATTTGTAAAAATAATAAATTATTAAAATTATTTTTATATATATAAAAATCAAAGTAAAAAAAAAAAAAAAGAACAGCAATGGAATATAAATTTTAAATGTAATAAAGATATTACAGTCATGTAAGTATAAATGTAAGCGAAAAATAAGAAGTGAAAAGTAAACACGGAGGGCAATATTATCCATGAGCATCACGGTGAGTCACTGGGCACGTTATGCTTTAATGCCGATTGAGGGAAATGGTGCGATTAAAATGCTCCGTCATGCTGTTAGCAAATTTGTCAAATATCTTCCCGTAATGCGTTTAGCCAAAAAAAAAAAAAAAAATCAAATCTCACTGAACATTACCTGTGTTTATTTTTGCAAATGAAACCTAAATGGTAGTTTGGATCTCACCGTAGCTCCAGTGCCATGAAATTCAGTCCTTGTATGGAAATAAATTAAATTGGCCATGTTTAGATTTCAGTGCGATAGCGGCATTTTCACAATGTTAAGCGGAATCCATCAGTGGGCAACTGAAATTGTTTTTTTTTTTTTTTTTTTTAACTTTTACCCTAGTAGAACCTTGTAAGGATTAGTGATCCATTAAATAAATTTTTTTCTTTAAGTATGTAAATCTGTAAAGATTGAAAGATTTTTGTGATTAGAAGGTTCTTTCTTCTTATTTTTTATTTTGATTTTGTATTTAAAATTATAAAATAATTTTATTATAATTAAATTTAATATAATAAATAAATTTTACTATAATAAATTAATAGATAAACAAACTAATAAATAATAAATTTTATTATATAATCAACTAATAAATAAATAATTAAAAACCTACATAAAATTATAAAAAATAAAGAAAAAATTATTTCATATATTAAAATTATTTTTATTAATTATTAATTATTTATTAATAAAATTATTTTTAACATAAAAATAATTTAATTAATTTATAAATAATAAATGATTTACACATTTTAAATTAATGTTTTTAATAATCATTCATATTCTCATTACAATTCAACTCATTATCATATTATATTTATATCTGTAGATATCAAATTTTATTCGAATCTACTATTTTCAATCTTGGGTTTAATAATAGTAATAATATTGATTTAATTAATATAAAAAAGAGGAAAAAATCAGGATGGCAGTGGTGCCTTACACGCCACCCACCACTACCACCCACCCTGTTCACCCACCACTGCCACCCACCCTGTCACCATCATCCCCAATCCCATCGGAGCCCCTGCACCTTACTTGCCCTAATTGCTCAAAACCATCAACCTTACCCTGCCATCACACCCATACCTCACCAGACGTATGCTCTATTGGCTACCACCATTTTCAACCCTATAAAGCCCCCAACATTTCCCCTTTCAGCCTCTCTCGGACACCCTCTTTCAAAAATCTTCGGATAGATCTTTAAAACCTCTAGACATATTGCCCTTAGCACCATTTCGTTTCGAGCCCAAACATCAAGTCAAACCTCTCCCTTTAACAACCCCAAATAGAACTCACACCAACCACAAAAAAAAAGAAAAACAAAACAAAAAGACAAACACAGTCTTCCCCATAGGGAGGAACCTCAGCGCCGAAGCTCTCGGCAAGAACAAAAAAATCAGGTCAGTCTTCGATTTACAAAAAAAAAAAGAAAGAAAAGAAAAAAGAGAAGAAACAGAAATCTTTAAACCCCGATCTATGTTGATCGGGCTTTTTTTCGTGAAAAAGATAGCAAATCCAAGCTCAGGGGGTTGATAAGGGTATTTTGGTGAATTCTGAAAAATTTTTGGTCATCGACGGTGACCAACGGCGGTTGGCGGGACGGCACGGCACTGGACTCCGATCGAAGCCAGAGAGCATTTTCAGACCAGAGAGATTTTTTTCTAGCAGAAGAAGAAATGAGCAAATTTTTTTTTGAGGTTTCTATAGAAAATTAAACAGCTCAAAACGACGTCGTTTTGACAAGGGAGGATTCGCGCGTGGACTCGGACCCGAACCGAGGTCCGAGCAACCAACTCGATAACCCGGCTCCTTAGCAAATCTGAATCGGTTTGACCAAACCGGACCGAGCCACTCCATAGATCGGCTCGAATTGCTCCTCAGTCGGCTCAACCGAATCGCATGTCGAACTGAACCTTTTTCGATCCAATTGAACCACTGTTGATCGGACCGTTGAACGGTCGATTCAGGTAAAAAAAATTTTTTTAATTTTTTTATATATTATTATTTTTGTTATTTTGAGTATTTTTTTATATTTATGCATGATGAATTTTTAAATTTGTTAGGATAAATATTTAATTTTTTTAATAATAATAAAAATGAAAAACAAGTAAGATAACTAATAAAAAATATTAAAAATGCTTAAAATAATAATAATAATAATCTAAAAAATTATAATAAGAATAATTTTTCTTATTTTTCCTACCTAGATGTTGGAGGGAATAAAACATATTCTTAAAAATAATTTTGCCTAGATGTTGGAGAATTATTATTAATAAATTTTCATAAAAAAATATATATAATAAATTTTTAATTAATTTTCAAAAATCACTAAAATCGAACTTGCTCCGAAAATTTGCTTAAATGTTGAGGATTTTTAGAGATGTTTGCTTTTTCTTAACAAAACGAAATTTTAAACGCTAATTCTTAAATTTCAAAACCCTAAAACCTCATAACCTTTAAATCCAAACCTCAAAACCAAAAATCCCTAAAATCCAAATCTTTAAATCAAAACCCCAAACCTCAAATTTTAAAACCAAAACCCTAAAATCTCCGGAGTCTAAAATCAAAATCTTAAACCTTCCATACCCTAAAATCCAATCCTTAAGACCCTCTAAACCTTAAACCAAACCCTAAAACCCTCAAAACTCAACCAAAAATCCTAAAATTCGAATCTTCAAAATCTTGAAATCTTAACCTTTAAAACCTCTACTCAAGCCCTTACTCAAAACATTTTGAAAATCCTAAGGACATATGTGAAAATCTCATTTGAAGTAATTTATCCCCGATTGTCTCCTAGATGATGAGGTGTTTAGAAAACTTTACTTCGTTAAATTTTTTCACACGAGTTCTTAATTCACATTAATAATAAGATTAATAAATAAAAAATATAATAGTAAATTAGATTTTTAAATATAAACAGTCGCACTTAAGCTCTACCTAGATGTTAGAGAGTCAGAGTGGTCTCATTATACTTAAGAACCCAACTTTTAAATTGTATTTTTTTTGCA